TATGTATATGTAAGCAAGTAATGTTAACGGTTTTGTTTGAAAATAAGAGTAATTGTTGTGTTACATGTGTTGTTAAACAAATCCAAAATAAAAAGGCCGCATAGAGGAATACCTCTTAAAACTTTCTATTTAGATCTCCATTTTGTTTGGATGATGCATTGAAATGAAGTTTCATTTGATTCTTAAAAGCGTTTTAGCACCACATAAATATTAGGCTTACAATGAAGACTTAACGTCCCAAAAAGAAAGGGAATTAAAATGATCAACAAATAACTTAAATTCCATAAGTTTAGGTTAATTATTTAGGCTATTTATATATATATATATATATATATATATATATATATATAATGCGTTCTATTTCTTTATAGAAATTGAATACCGTATTGATGTGTGGAGGATTGATACATAATTTAGTGTCTATATGATTTTATTTATTTTTTGAAACAACCAAAAAGTTTAATCCTTGTTTCTAAATTTTCTGCATGTGCACATGAATATATTATCCACACTTAACAATTAGAGCAACCTGTACTTTATCAGTGTTTGCTTGATTAGAACTCTTAGGTTCATTTATTTACTTCAGTAGATTCTTATTACTATTTTTATTACATTTTTAACTTTTACTGAATGAAAATTACTACATATATATATATATATATATATATATTTGAAGCAAGTTATAATGTTTAAATACTGTTTGTTCTACTGGGTTCTACAAACCATGTAAATTTATAATGAAAAGGAATATTGTGGAATATATAATTTCTTTTGATATGGTTGTTCTATACTGTATGATGGTGTGTAAATTTAATTTTTACATAAGTTTCAATGGGATCCTATATATATATATATATATATTTTCCCTTGTTTGTAACATTTTAAAATTGTTATTATAAAATATATTATCCACACTTAACATTTTAAAATACATATATTACTTTTTAGTTTATATATAAAAAAAACACATTCTACAAAGATTAAAAAATTCAAAGAGTCCTTGTTTTCCAAAGTCACTTTAAGAAGCCATGGTTTGGAAGATTTATGACAGTTTATATTTGGCAAAGAACAACTATCTTCTAGAAGTCATGGTCTTTTGAAATATAGTCGACCTTTGTTATAGTCAATTTCTTGGAACCATAGAAATTATTGCAGCAATCTCACACAAACTTAGTACCAGAATTCTAATGTTTGCATCACTTGGGTAATCTTAAAGTTGGAGTTATTTTTAAAATTTCCATTTTCATTAAGACATACGAATCTTTAGTTTCTGTAAACTTTTTAAGCATCCGTTAAAATCTCCACTAATTCACTAATCCTAGTTGATTTGAAGTTTCTGCATCATTATTAAATGGCCTAAATGAAATGACCATTAATAAAAAGAAAAAGAAAAAAGGAAAAAGACCCAATAACAGTAACATCAATGTCATAATTAAAATGTTTTTTCTGAAAAAAAAAAACCCAATTCATAGAAATACTATCCATAAATGAATCTCATCTACACTTACATATGTTCATATTGGTAGAAACAGATTTTTATGATTGTTCAACATTAACTTGAATGATGTGTTGTAGAAATTACATCTTGGATGCATCATAGTTTGAAGATTCTATTCAAAGTTGCATGGGGTTTAGTAAAATTTGTTATACCAGCTCACAAAATTGAAATAATGGCAACAACTTTCAAAAGAAGTATGTAAATGAACTATTTTGTACAAATGATTGTGTGCAGTGATGTGGGTTTTGAAATACACCAGGTTAATTCAAACATTCTGTCAGGGTAATGAATTGCATTCTTTTTTTTAATAACATATCTTATAACAGAAGAGTACATCAACATGTTGATTTTTAATTTTTAATTTATTCGTTTCTAATATGTGTTTGTAAAATAAAATGCACAGAGTGTGCATTTTGTTGTTGTTGTTGTTGTATGTAAGCATTCTAGTGCATCAATGACTAGTTTAGAGAGGGTAATCATCAGCCTAATTCAGTAAAGTTGAAATTTTTAGGCATGCCATTTTATCTAATTACATTTGCTAGAGAACACATCTTAATGCTTTAGCAATATGTAGTTCAAGTATGGTGCAAATTTACAATAAAGAAAGATACATGACTACTTGGTGGGATATTGTTTGTGCTTCAAGAGCATCCATTTAAAAAGTGCCATGGCTTTTGGTTGAATCTATACAATCATTAGTAAAATTCCAGTTATACATTTTGTTCTCAATTTGAAAATATGACATACAATACCTTTTATGTTTAAAAACTAAGTATGTATATATGTGCATGTATGTGTATAGATAGATAGATAGAGGAATGTTAAATAGATGTAGATTTTTACTAAATCAACCTAACCGTGATAAAAAAAAAATTAGGTAATCATGTTAAATGTAGTTGGTTGTCATTGGTGTTGGGTCCAATAGTGGAGAAATGAATCTAGAGGTCATTTTTTTTCTTTTCTTTTCATGATGGTTAGGATGGGTGGATCAATTTAGTAAAAGCTTGAATCTATTTAACATTCCCATATATATATATATATATATATACATACATACATACATACATAGGGTTTTGATATTGCCATCACAAGTTTTACTATTGCTACCACAACTTATCAATCACTCAATGTATTTTTTTAGTATTCAAGTTTTTACAATTAATTTTTTTGTTGAATCAAATGGTTTGATAGGTATTGAACAAATGTGACATATAATGAATGAGGTTATGATACTAATGCAGAAATTATAATGACATTAGCAACACTGTATATTTTTACATATATACATAGATAGTAAAAATCATTATTAATATCTATATCTTTACTTGATGATTGTGGCCATCTTCAATAATCCATGAAGAATTATAACTAATTCAAATGAAATTTGTAAGTTAAAAAAATATTTCCTAATTTATGTTAATTACTTAATTATTGTTTCATAATCTTATGCTAAATTCATTTCAAAAACTCAAATTTCATTGATGTCACAAGCATTTATTATAATTGATTTTGCAATTATAATTTGGTACTTCTTTTTGTTATAGTATGGGTTTATGTAATTAATTGTAATGACAACTAAAAATATGTGGTTACTTTTTATTCAGAAGGACTTATTCTTTATGTTAAATTGCATTGATAAAATCACATATAATGCTTAATGACATATGTTTAAATGTTTGTATATATATATATATATATATAAAACTTGGAACTGGAAAAAGATCAAAGTCATAGCATCACACACCCAAACATACATGTATGTTAAACTCCAAACTTTGATGTATATAAGATGCAAAGAATTACATTATTTTGCGTGTTTGTATATGAGTTTTACAAACTGTATTAGCAATTTATTTATTTTTAAATCATTATTATTAGTATTAAATCACTAATTTGGATTTTTTGATGCGGCATCTTTCATAAACTTTTGAAAACTGAGTAGCACATTGAGTTTTTATTTCTTTTAATCTGAAAAACTAATGGAGTTTTTATTATGACTTAATATCAGACGTTTATTTCTTTTCCATGGTTTAATCTATACCACAGTCACATTCAATACAATCATTTTTTTTCTTACTGTTAGTAAAAAGATGAAAAGAACAATGCAAAATTCTTAAAATATGGAGTTTGTTTAAACTACAAATACTTTAAGCTTTTAATATTACATTTGCATTTAAAAATTGCATCATGTCCAATGAAATTCAACACTGCATCTTCACATTCAAAGCTTCTTAATCAACAAGACCCACATGAACAACAGTTATCCTTTCACCACACAAACACATCACACCAACAATCAAACTTCCACATTCCACAGTCTCAAACTATCAAACTCCCCCCCCCCCCGCCCCCCCACCAAAACGATGCACACAACTACCAGCAAAAAACAAAAAACTCAACTCAAGAAGAAGACGAAAAAAAAAACACGCACTGTCAATCAGCCCTTGAAACCACAGATCAAACCCAGAAGACGAAATTTTGCTTTTGCAGAGCCATAGTTTGCAAAAATCAATGCAAACTCTGTCAGTGGGGATAAACCGAGAGCTTCAATGCTCAAACTAGTTCCTTCATGGGACTCAAGAAAGGGTTGTAGAGTGTTGAGGATTGTGTAAGTGGCAGCTCCATGTGCTGAAGCCCTGCAAGCAAGTAAGTCTGCATGCATGCATGAAGCAGAGTACAATATTAGAACTGTGGGTGAGATTCTGCAAGGGGCCTGCTCCTCCTTCCTCTTCGTCTTCCTCTTCCTGGTGTGCAGGCACTTGTCTCAACTGTCTCTCTGTCTGCACAATCTGCAAGGTGGTCCGGCATCCAACAGGTCGATGGAGGCGATGGGAGAGCGAGAGAGAGAGATACTCTCTGGCATCAGCAATTTTCATGGCAGGCCAATGTCAAGGGTGCAGGTTCTGCAGATTCCGTTTCTCCAGAGCCTCGACATTTGCTGAGCACTTTGGTACCCAATCTCAAGCCCTCTTTAAGTTCTCAATTCCAGTGGGTGAGAGTTGTGCGTCAACTGACGCTTTTGCACCATTCTCCATTCATGGTTAGGGTGGCTGTCACTTTTTTTTTTTTTTTTTTTTGGTACTCATACGAATAGCGCTTTATGATGTTGCCGAGAGGTTTAAGTCGTGTATCGTCGTAGTCGATCTTTGCCGGAGGACGAGCCGGCGCCATGTCGGTCTGGTGGGCTGCATTTCCCAAGGATTCACTGGTTTGCGGTTTAGGGTTTTACACAGAGATTCAAGTTTTCATTTCACATGTACCTCTTTGAGTTTCTTGTGTCATGGCAGCATCGCCTTCGTGTAATTTCCGTGAAAACCAAACATATTCTTCTGTATGTATGTATTATTGTATACACTTGAATGACTAACTCTACGTATTTGGTAAATAGAGAATAAGGCCATTCACACTCCAAGCGGCAGCACTCTGATGCTTCGAGTTTATTCACCATGTTGATCCATAATGCTTTTACTGTTGCCCAGATTTGCAAACAGAGAGCTACCTTGCACATCCAATGTAGAGTTACAAAACCATGCGTATGAATTAGAAAGGACTTCCTTCTTTGGACTTGTCTCTAGCGTTTACTGTTCCCCTTGTTTTTGGCGCACCTTTTTACCAAGACCTGCAGGGCACACATTTCCAAGAGTCCCGTAAAATAGAGGGGAAATATATATATATATATATATATATATACATACAACAAATCAAACGACTCGCAAGTTTTGCTGATTCTGCAGTTGACAACTGGAAAAGGCTAAATCGTAAAAGAGAATTCAACATAAGTGGAACCTTCTTCAGTGAATCGCCGTCACCGCGAAGTGAACAGTGAGGAGATCTTAGAAACAAACTGACTGCACACGCTGTGGGAACCATCGACGCCCAGAACTAGCATTCTTTGGGCTGAATCGGAAACGAGCTTCGATTTTGCTACCTTGAACGGAACTGGATTCGTCTCTTGTGCTCATCCCATGAGCAATAGTCGTTAGATCTTGCCACTACGAAACCAGTGACATAGTCTGAAACAAAGTAACCACCGAGAGGTTACCCAGTCGCACAATCTGGCTGCTCCACGATGAGCCTATTCTCTTTCGTGTGGACGGAAAAGGCAGAAAGGGGTGTAATGAACGGATCCTCAGGTCATGAATGAGTAGCCGGTTGCGACAAGAGTGGTGCTGCGTTACGTCTCGCTCGCCGAGCTTCTTGCAGCGCCGCTAGTAACTCCACCCTCTTCCATCACCATGCACCTTACGTGTTCGGCTTCCTCCTTTGCTTGTATATGTGCGGTCCAGCCACACTTTGCTGGCGGGATCGGGCTCCCAATATTCTTGGTTTAACCGATGTGTGTGCCCTTTTTCCTCCGCCCCAACAAATGTGAGGATGGAGATGTAGGGATGTTGCTGCTTGAAGTCAATGAAATCATGACAGCTTGGTTGTGGCGCAGAGTCCAAGAGCTGGAATGGTTGTTTCTAGTGTTGTGAACTGCGATCCTTTTGCGGTTGATTGATCTGAGACTCGTTTTCGCGAAGGGAAAAGCGATTGAATCTGCTTGCTATAGAGTTCGGGTAGAGGATTTGGAGGGGAAGAAAAGTGAGAGGCGGTCGATTAGTTTTCTGGGGCTTGGGATGGTGACTTTGAATGCAGAATTGGTAATGGCAGTCATGGATGCATGCAGATGCGCACGTAGTTTCCGTGTTGTGGTGTTAGTGTTGATTGGAAGCACCCTGGTGGGTTTATGTCTACCCACTCCTGTGTCGGGGCGGGTTCCTGAGGGGTACACCCTGATCAGGTCCCAGGCTCCGATCCCTCGTAGTAATTCACAAATTAGGGGAGTTTTGGCCGAAGACAGCGAAACGTACAGTACTGACGCGGCGCCGAATACTTTTAGACCCAGAGACTCAATTTCACAGTCAAACGTGACGGTTCGGATGGTGGCGCTGAAGCACGTTGTCGGAGAGCGAGGGGAGTTGCGAGGCGAGGAGCTAGATTCCAACGACGGTGCTGCAACATTGAGGGGGATGGATCCCACCACTGATTCAAACGGGATCAGGATCGGCAAACTCGAGATGGTCACAAAGGTGCGTGGTCGTGCCCTGCGCACCTCGAAACCATACCCGTGCAGCTTGCCATCAGGGTCATGCAAGCCGTCGGACAGTTGCTGTGGGCGTTCCTGCGCCAACTTCGCTGTGAATCCCAACCACTGTGGTCGTTGCGGACGCATATGCAAACCAGACAGGGCCTGCTGCGGCGGGAAGTGCAGACGCCTCGCGACTGATGAGAAAAGCTGCGGGAGCTGTGGCACGAGGTGCGCTCCAGGGACGAGGTGTGTTTATGGTCTTTGCGGGTACTGACGACCTGTGCAGCGACAATCCACGGCGCTGCAAAAAAGCAACAAATGAATCAGACGATCATCACAGATTGCATTGTCGTCTAATTGACTGCTTCTGACAGCGAATAAGCCCCTTTTTGCATGGGGATACGCATCTAAGTGGTGAAGGGGATTATTCCAGATGACTGTTCTGAAAAATCCTGCTCAAATTAGATTTGGGTTACTCGTAGTCCGGATGTGATACCCTCCCTGCTGTACTTGACCACGCCAATTAATCCTGTCAATCGATTAAGATTGTGTTCAAGCTGCACGGTCGGATCCTTCGAAATCCGTCCGGAGATCACCTCCTGTACTCGTTGAACCCTCTGAGTGTGACCAAGTTGCGAAGATGTCAGTCTGTATTTTTGCATTTCTCGTTGTTGCATCGCACCCTCACGCCCAAGCCCTCCATCACCCTCTCAAGAGCTTGCTTGAGAGTTGTTTGCCACTTGCTTGATAAAACCCACAGCCCTAGATGTCGATCAGTGTTTGTGCATGCTAGTTCGACGTCACCGAGCTAGTTTTGTCTGTGCCCAGGTTCATGAAACTGAGAACCCATGTACTCGTGATACTCTCTCTCGATGTGTGTGAATGCATTTGTTTCTTGTGCAGGATCAGCACTGCAGCAATGTCGCAAAATGGTTGCATGGTTATGATCTGAGCACTTTGTGCAACATTTTCTTCTTCGGGAATGCGCTTCGTGTATGACGTTTTGGTTTGTGTCGTCGAGGTTTCTTCTTCGTTTCATGTTCTCATTCTGGTGTCGGTGGTTCCAGTTGCACATAAATTACCTTCAACAGAGATTCTATATATATATATATATATATATATATAGTTTTTGTTATCAGTGCCCATCCCACGTCCTGTTCCTTGCATTCTCATCATGCGTTCCCATCGCCGTCCTCCATCTCGACCCCTAGTCCCTCCTTCCGGATCTGCGCCAACTTGGAGCTTTGGCCCTGAGAGGAAGTAACGGATAAGGTGGCGATGGAGGGAGAAGAAGCTGTATCAATGGTGTGGATGGTCGGAAGCAAGAGCCAATGTGACGAAGTAGTAGATCTCGAGATCGGCACCTACAACACAGCATTTGCAGAAGATCCATGGGATTATTCTTATTCTTATTTACTATTATTATTTTGTGTATACAAAGGCTCAAAGAAAGAAAAGTAAATGAAGGGTAAGCTCCAGAGGAATTCTTAAACACGATTGCAACAACAGTTGCTTTAGGCTGAAGAGGGGAAATTCTTCAGCCAGAGGGGAAATTCTTCAGCGAGAGGGGAGTTCCCCCTCTGAAACCTTTGAACTCACACCTTTAGATTCAATTGTGAATACATAAAACGGCACATGTGATAGATTGCTGGGTATATTAGAGAGTATGCGATCTAAGATTAGAGATTAATCAATCCAAAATACAAACGCAATGAAAGAATCCTTAGAATTTAATTCTATCCAAGAAATGATTTACTTAGAATGTGTACAAGATGGACGTTGCAGGCCACTTTGGTGTAGCAGCTTCTCAACACCCTATCAAGTTAATGACCAAGTCCCTAAATGCTCGTCATCTCTTTTACTTCTGGAGAGGGCTTTCGGCTTTCACAAGACTTGAAAGAAAATCAACTTAATATTGTTATGTAATTTAGCGTTGCATGTGAACTGGCGGTTGTGTAACACAATTGATCAACAAGGAACACACAACCCTTAAGCGAGTTTTGATGAGCAGCCTGGACTGTTTGGCGTTGAGCTTCTCCTCAATCGAATTGAGTAGAATGCATCACTCGCTCGTTTGTCCATGTTGCAGCACATGTGGTTGTGCTTGTGTCCAGTGCATGGTTCCATGCAATGTTCGGGGATCAGCTACTTGGCCAACTAGAGAGGAGCCTTGCAGATTGAGATTTCATTAGGATTAAATGTCGATTTAGATTTGATGTCGTCGCCAGCGACAACCAACAAATCTCATTCATTTTCACAAATTTTGCAAGGCTGATATGATATGCTTGGTATACACAAAAAAAAAAAAAAAAAAAAAAAATTCCTTGGATCTTCTGCAAATGCTGTGTTGTAAGTGCCGATCTCAAGATCTACTACTTTGTCGCATTGGCTCGTGCTTCCAACCATTGGCACCATCGATCCAAGCTTCTTCTCCTTCCATCGCCACCTTGATCCGTTGCTTCCTCTCAGGGCAAAGTTCCAAGTGGCGCAGATCTGGGACAAGCGACTGAGGGTCGAGATGGAGGAGGACGGGCAATGGAAACACATAATAGGAATGCAAAGAACCGGGACGTGAGATGGACATTGATAACAAGAACTACGAAATGAGGGAACGGAGAGGTGCAATGATGGTGGGTCGATTTAGTAAAAACATGGGTTGATTTAACATTCCTATGTATATATATATATATATATATATATACATATACAATGTCTTATACATGGATATATGAATGAGTATACAGTTTTAGTTGTTGTTTGGAATGTTTTTGAAATGAGAATAAGAGGAATATATATTTTTTTGTTGTGGAATCAAATACAATGTCAATGTGTTGACATGTTTGCATGTGCTAAGTGGACAAGTTCTTTCTTCCTTCTTTTGTTTGTTCCTTCATTTCATTTTTGAAGGATTTTAAATCTGTTTTCATAACCAAAATATTCATCTAATATAAGTATACATTGCTTTAAATAATACATAAATAAATTTAGGATAGGAATAAATTATGTTATATTGCTTGCAAGTGTGTAAACAAACCTTGCAAACACAGATCTTACAATGAATTCTTCCATGAATTTGCTTGTTTGTAGATTCTAAACAATAATGTTGAAGCAAGAAGAAATGAAGGTATTTGTAAAGAGCCATGATCTAATTTTTTTTTACCTTTACTTTTATTTAAAATAAGACTTAATAAGTAAATAAAAAATCATATATATATATATATATATATATATATATATAGAAAAATAAAAAAAATAAAAAGGTTTTCTCTTATATTATGTTGATGTCAAAAATTTCAATAAAAAGTCTCAAATTAAAAATTGCATTTTAAAGAAATTATGCTTTTGTAACTATGGAGTAAAAAACTTCCTTCTAAATTATTTTCTTGAATAAAATGTTCACTAATATTTATTAATTTTTTAAAAAATGTGTTGTAGAATTAGTCATTCTAGGCATATATATATATATATATATATATATATATATATATATAATTCTAAAAAGAAAGATAGTTTTTTCATTATTTTTTATTTTATTTTCAAGCATTTTGCATGTCCTAATAAAGAATTAAGGATGTTTTGGAATGAAATTATGTTTTATTATTTTTTCTTCATGGTTATCTGGAAAATTAAGTATTTATTTTTATAATTTGTTGTTTTTTTGTCTTTTAAAAATACAATTTTTTGAATTTTATTTTCAATGATTTGTGAAACTTCACTTATTCTATTTAAAATCTCAAACGTTTTAGTAAAATTTGAGTTTGATTTTGTAATAAAATTAAGCTAAAATAAAATTTATGGAAGTTATGCATTAATTCAATCATGTGATTTTCTATCAAAATTTGATTATATATAATCAAAATAAAAGAAAAATATTACCTCAATTGCTTATAGCAACTTTGTTCACATATAAAAAATCAAAGATTAAAAAATCATTTTAAAGTTTAGAATAAGTAAATATTATAAATTAGCATTCAAATGATGAAGTCATAATATGCTAATAAATTGATAGAATAATGCATAGAAATTTTACAAAGTTTGATGAAATTGATACTATCCAATTTAAAAGTTTGATGAAAAATTAGAACAAATTTGATTATACTTGTATTAAAAAATTATCTATTAAAAATATTTTATATGAAATGAATTATAGTTTTTATCTTTTATTTTATTTTATACTTTTGTTGCACTTAGTGCATTAATAAAAAATATATCTACAACTTCTTATATATGCTTTTAGTAAAAATATTTGCTATAAATTCTAATAAAAAAGTATATAACAAACCAAGATGAAAATTTTAGAATATATTTCAAATTGAGTATAATTATTTCAAATAGAATGTCACTTATTTTGGATTTAAAAGATGTGTTAATTCTCCCTCAACTTTTACTATATGATATTTTCAGATTTCCCAAAGTATTACATAAATGATATTTTGGTATGTTCTAAAAAAGATGATGATAAAAAAGTAAAAATATATTTCTATTCTTTCATCAAAATTTTAAAAGCATAGAATGTTTGCTAAATCTTAGTGTTTTTTATTTCATCAATTTCAATGATAATCCATTTGTATATTTAGAAACAACATGGATTGTTATACAAGGCTCACTGCTTCTTCTTCTTCTTCTTTTTTAAATGTAATTTATTATATTTGTTGAATATCAAAGAAGACAACTACAAAACATCCTTAGTTGATGTTGTAGATGTGACATCAATAGTCCACTTGACCTTCCAATTTATAGTAATAAAATTAAGTTAATTTATAATTAACTTAAGTTATTATGTATACATGGAATATTATTTGATGAAATAAAAAACTTTATTTTTTAATAGATTCTAGTAAGATCAAGATATTAATCACTTTCATGGTATTAAATTATAATTACAATAAGTAAGTATTTATGTTCATCATGGCTAAGGATAGATCATAGTTTAGTATTGGAAAACTAATAAGTTAGAAAGAGAGAGCAACTACCATGTGTAGAACTTGAAGATAAAGGCTCTTCATTTCAAAGAAGATTTATGGCACATTATTGAGGCTAAAGTAATACTTATTATTGTTCCTGCTATAATTAATGGTCAAATGTTGAGTGAGTTTTTTCTTAAGTAGAGCAAGTATAAGACTTATACAAGTATTTTTATGTTTATAAAAGATAAACTTATAGATAATATTGCTAAGAAACTTGATCCAATTGATAAATGGAAAATATAGCAAAACATGCTTTGGAATAAAAATCAATTTTAGATTCTTTTATTAATAACAAAACTTCATTTAATGAAGATAAAAGAAAAATGAGACATTGGAGTATATCTAAAGAATGCAAAAAAGCTCTATAACAAACAAACATCAATTACAGAGAAAGTCCCATAGGATATGATGGTCAACATTGTGATGAATGATTTATCTTAAGCAATTGATAAACTCATTATTAGGATAATAATTAATCTATTTAATCATAGTGACAATGAATTTCTCTTCAATAGTCATAAATCTTGAAGAAATAAATCCTCAATAAATTCTTATATCATTGAAAAGAACTACAAAGTCACTCAAAGA